TTTGGTGCAATCGTTTGGCCATTGCGTTTTTCTGCATTGCCTGGATACATGTATTGGGAACAACTCAATAGATACTTCCCTCTCAAAAATAATGTCGTCCAATATATGATATCACATCAAGTTGCGAGCATTTGTTTGAATCGCCAGAAATGACGGTCAGGGATAGAACAATGTTTTATCGTGTGTAGCAGGACTGGGTCCGACGTCCACAGACGGCCTTCTGTATGCTATCTTCAATTAGCTTTGCGGGATAATTTTGATGCAGTAGGAAATTCTTAAGTTCAGCAAGGCGGAAACAATGGCACAAATACGTCTTGCGAGACAGTAAGGATACTGTGATACTAGAAATGTTATTTACTTGATTGTTTGTAGTGGATGCAATCAAAAGTATATCGGAAAGACAGAACTTAAATTAAAAAGAAGAATGAATCTTCACCGTTCACAAATAAAGCAGCCACATGACCGCACGATTCCACTCAGTGAACATTTAGACACATGCCGAAGCGGCAACTTTTTAGTTTTCCTGCTATATAAGCTAAATTTTTATCATGAACCTACATTGTTTCAAAAAGAGCAACATTTCATTCATAAATATGCGCCTAAGTTAAATGTAAAGGCGTAAGTTATTTGTCCATTGTCACCTTGGTATTGTGACGTCATAGTTCTCCTAAATATTATGACGTCACATAACTATATGTTACTACAGTGATCGCTCGCTATTGCGCTCTTCGATAAAGCGCTACTTCGGTTACAACACGCGGTAACACATGGCTCCCAAAATTTATGTACACTTTTAATACTGAGAGTTTAACACAGACATGATTGTATTGTTGTTCGTTGTTCATTTGCACATAACGCTTCTCATTGCATAATCAACCGTTTATCGCTGAATGGAGTTCTAATAATCTGTTTGAAAACATCCGTGGCAAGTCCCGGAAATACGATTATTCTACTAGTTATCTTTTTACGCTATACGTCCTTTGATCTTAGAAGCGCATGCATGCAATAAAAGAAAACCACAAGCGAAGTTCCGTATTTCATGTCCGTTATTCAGTTATGGCCTGATGAGACTCGTACGTGGTATGAGTTGAAAGCGCTAGCCAATTAAAACTGCCACATGCATTCATTCATTTATGTTTACTTTCATTCATTCATTTAAGCTTACCTACATTCATTCATCCCATGCATGCTTGCTTAGCCTTACCTCTTATATCACAAATAAATACTTTTTAGTTTAATGCTTATACATGTTTTAATGAATGTAGGATACTTATTTGGTTGTTAAACTCAATAATAATTACGAATCCATATTCCATGTATTCGTGTCTAAACACACATATATCCAAATTCAAACAATATCTACAATACTGCAAATACAATTTAATGAATAAATTCCTCAATTCATGAATAAAATACTTACCTTGGAATTTGATCTTAGGTTCCCCAAAACGATCCTTGTGAAAAACACATGAATATATATCTTTATCCGTGGAGTGACCACAGTCCTTAGGTGTCCAGCACACAGCATGGCTGAGTACCCAAGCTGGCCATATAGACAAAAGGCTTGAGTAGGGAGAAGGCTGGGGCTATTGTGTTAGTTCACGGGGTGTGACATTCACAAACAAACCATGCAGTAAACATGCTTAGTAAGAGTGCTGTGACTGATAGTTTAGTGTTTAAAGTAGGCTGAACAATAAAATAAAATGACTACAACTGCATTTAATTATGTACATGAATTATACTTAAAAGGTAAAATACAAGAAATATTCAAAATATGTAACTGCCACACGTGAACTATGCCATACTTTCTTCTTCATTGTTCTTTGCAATTTATCGCGTAGCATCTTATATATTAGAATAAAGTCTACTTTAGATATTTGTAACTTAATTACTGCAGAAAGAAAATAGAGAAAATAATATCCTGCCTACCTACCTACGCTGCCATGCCTGGTGTAGACGCCCGTGTTTGATGACAGCTAACGATGACGAACAAGAAGTGGTTATTCGATTGGCTCAAATCCAATTTTCAATTGTATACTTTCTTTTGCAGGTCAGTTCAGTTAACCTTTAGCCTGCTGATTTAATATCTCAATGAAAAATCTGTCAAATTTAGAGAATTTGGTATCATTGTGAAGCATGTGATTCTGTCGTTCCAATCCAACGGTAATTGACACACCTCTGCTGAATATGGGTATGCAATTTTCCAGTTTCCCTGCGCAACAATTGTTGTGACATACACTCCTGTACTTGGTGGGCTAGACTAACATCTAGTCTATGAAATGAACATATCGTACAGAAAAAACAGTTGTTCAGTTATCTTAATAAAAATATAATAAAAGGGAGCCCACTGACTCTTCATTTTCAGATACTGATACTGCAGTAATCTAGACTTGCCAAACATTATAGACTTGCATGAGCTGTATTTGATATATATTTGTATCAGGGTCTGTAAGACAGACTATTGGTAGGCCTGCGCGACTTATTGTCATGACACACAGTCTTTGGGGTTCAGCAAAGTCACATGAACAGGATGAGATGTTTTAACACTACAATGCCAGGGTCGTCAAGAATGGCTACTGTATAAACACGTAACAAAGCTAATATCTAATTACAACTACCCAAGGCAATATTTGTGGGGTTTTAAGCTGGATAATTATGTCTGCCCGACCAAGTCCGTGATGTTTGTAGTCTAATGTAAGCCTGCTGAGGACAATGGGGACAGTAGTGAAATTCAGGTTCTTCATGTTCGTCTAGACCAAAGTTTTTCAATTTGTTGGTTATTTTTGTTTGTATTTTTCAGCATCATCAGGGTCGTTAGAAATGGCTACTGTGTAAGATGTGACAATGCTAATTGATATGTTGTTGTTGGAATTAATCTTTGGCATAAAGAGGTGGCACAATTGTTGTGTTTTAAGCTTGCTAAGTAATCTCTGTGTTGGTTGTAATCTCTGAAGTAAGCTGACATGGATGAATACTAAAATATAACATTTTTCATGTAAGGCTATACCAGATTTATTGAATTTTTATTACAGTAAATTTTTGTCAAATGAATGACTACATTATTATCATCATATCAGAGTCAGGCAAAAAGCAGTTTTCTAGCATTTCCGACAGTACTTCAGCTACATGGAGTAGTTCAAATTAAGCATCGCGATATGTATCATGTCATGACTCAAGTATCCCGATATGTATCATGTCATGACTCAGGTATCGCAGGATGTATCATATCATGACTCAAATATGGCAATATGTATCATATGATGACTCAAGTATCACGAGATGTATTACATCATGACTAAAGTATCACGAGATGTATTACATCATGACTCAAGTATCACGAGATGTATTACATCATGAGTCAAGTATCACGAGATGTATTACATCATGACTCAAGTATCCTGAGATGTATTACATCATGAGTCAAGTATCACGAGATGTATAACATCATGAGTCAAGTTTCGCGAGATGTATTACATCATGAGTCAAGTATCACGAGATGTATTACATCATGAGTCAAGTTTCGCGAGATGTATAACATCATGAGTCAAGTTTCGCGAGATGTATTACATGAGTCAAGTATCACGAGACGTATTACATCATGACTAAAGTATCACGAGATGTATTACATCATGAATCAAGTATCGCGAGATGTATGACATCATGACTCAAGTATCACGAGATGTATTACATCATGACTAAAGTATCACGAGATGTATTACATCATGAGTCAAGTATCACGAGATGTATTACATCATGAGTCAAGTATCGCGAGATGTATTACATCATGACTAAAGTATCACGAGATGTATTACATCATGAGTCAAGTATCACGAGATGTATTACATCATGAGTCAAGTATCGCGAGATGTATTACATCATGACTAAAGTATCTCAATATGTATCATATCATGACTCAAGTTTCGCGAGATGTATTACATCATGACTCAAGTATCGCGAGATGTGTTACATCATGACTCAAGTTTCGTGAGATGAGTTACATCATGACTCAAGAATTGCGATATGTATCATATCATGACTCAAGTATTGCAATATGTATCATATCATGACTCAAGTATCGCAATATGTATCATATCATGACTCAAGTATCGCAATATGTATCATATCATGACTCAAGTATCGCGAGATGTATTACATCATGACTCAAGTTTCGCGAGATGTGTTACATCATGACTAAAGTATCTCAATATGTATCATATCATGACTCAAGTTTCGCGAGATGTATGACATCATGACTCAAGTATCGCGAGATGTGTTACATCATGACTCAAGTTTTGTGAGATGAATTACATCATGACTCAAGAATTGCGATATGTATCATATCATGACTCAAGTATCGCAATATGTATCATATCATGACTCAAGTATCGCAATATGTATCATATCATGACTCAAGTATCGCAATATGTATCATATCATGACTCAAGTTTCGCGAGATGTATTACATCATGACTCAAGTTTCGCGAGATGTATTACATTATGACTAAAGTATTGCAAGATGTATTACATCATGAGTCAAGTATCGCGAGATGTCTTACATCATGACTCACGTATCATGTGGCTTCATGTGGTATTCATATTGCGACACTGCTCGTGCCTACAGATGGAAGAAATCACTGTCCTTCTTCACTTGATCACACTCACCATACAAAGTCCTCGTGCCTCATCAATCATATTCGTCACCAGTATGGCTCTCACTTTAATTTTCAAGGTGACAGATAACTAGAATGTTATAAGCTGAAAATGAAATCAGGTTTGGCATAGTCACAGAATGATGCAGTCGACAGATTCTTGGACTGTCTGAAGCTAAAAGAAGCAGTGATGACGTAATAATATTCAATGAAGAACTTGTACTTTGCATTTTTAACGTTGGCTCACAAATTGCACCTTGCTCTAACATGGATTCCTGTTATCAACTGCTACCTTTGACCTTATTATATATATATCAGGTGATAACAGGTGTATTCCTGGTGGATGTCAACACAGTGGACCGGACTGACGGTCAGTGTACAGGTCGTGTCTCACTGTCGCTGGACGTTGGGACTGGACTCCTCGGTGCCACCAGTAGACAAGCCATTACGTTGGGACTGGATCTCAAAGTGGTGATTCTCTTTCACAGTGCTCTTCCTAGTGTCATAATCTTTGACAGTTTTAGGACTGAAGGGTGTTTGTTTTCATAAGGATTACATCCCTGTTGACCAGCCTCCATTAACCCTTGGATCCCATTGTTTTTTCAATGGGATTATGGACGGTTGTGCTGGTGACAGTAGTTTGTTTTGAAAGTGGTATCGTCAAGAAGAGAGTATAACTTTGCCTTGAGGTGAAACAGGTTTAGAGACATGCATACTTAATACAAGCATCCCAAGCTACGTTTGACAGTGATGCGTCCTGAGTTGTGACCAGAAACAGTTCTCTCTACACAGTGAAAGTTGTTGCAGTGCTGCCTGACTATCGCCACACTGAGCAAGTTGGTTGCTATGGTTTTCTGTGTTTCCAAATAATGACAATAGGCTCTTGCTCGACATTCAAAATGGGCTCCAAAGTGGGAGATACGGCCTCGTATACCATAGATACTGAGTAAGTATATCTGAAAAGTGGAAGCCTCATCCCACATCAGCAGACCAAGCAACGTTATCATGGTATTTGATTTTGTAAATATTCATACAACTGTTGAGTGTGAAATGGTGTTGTCAAGTATGTGATCATTTGTCTGTTTACATATATATTATATATTAGTTTTTGATTTTAGGCATGTATGAGATTTTCCTAGACCTCATAGGCTGATAATAGGCCGATGTTCATTCCCTGGGCCCTGATGCACAAAGCGATTGTAGGGGTAAGGAGATCGTAACTCCCAAACTATCACATAGACTAACGACTGTCATAGCGCTCCGATTGCTTTGTGGAACAGGGCTCAGGTCTGCAGCAAATTTCAGTAAACATTTCCAAATTGGAATTAAAAATATTTTCCAGTATATGCTATTATATTTATAACCAGTGTTATCATTGTTGGAAATAAGTTTAAAACCCAACGAAACAGTCAGGCAGGTGGCCCATAAGTGCTGCCTGCCTATCTTTGAGTTACCTCCCACAGTCTTACATTATGAACAATGAACAACGCAGAAACTAAGAGACAAATCACATCTTGATTCAGTAAGGTAATGTTAACAATCACTTGAGATTCTACAAGGAGTTATTAACTGAATTGTAAGTAGTCTTAACATTATCTGCCAGACAGTCCTCCAGATGGAGGAAAAATTGATGCAGCCCGACAGAAAAGTTACCAGCCGCTGTCCGGTGGGCAGGCAGTTATTTCGGACACTGAGTGTAATGGCTTTGTGGATGTGACTTGCATTTCACAGATAAGGGAACAGTTGTCAACATTTTTTGCATTGAACTCAATTTTGAAGTACTTATTAAAATTAGAACTTGAAATAACCAACTTGAACAAAAAAATGGAGCAAAGTGCTTTTTATGGTGATTATGGTGGATCTAGATACTATAAGGAATATATTAATTTTAATAACTTTATTAATTGGGCCAGCGAAGATCCGGGGTAGAATAGTTCTTCCGAACCCATGCTTGCTGTAAAAGGCGACTTATGTAATGTTTGTCGTAAGAGGCGACTAAAGGGATCGGGTGGTCAGTGTCACTGACTTGGTTGATGCATGTCATCGTATCCGAATTGTCTGGATCGATGCTCATGATGTCAATCACTGGATTGTCTGGCCCAGACTCGATTATTTACACGCCATCATATAGCTGAAATATTGCTGAGTGCGGCGTTTAACAACAAACAAACAAATTAAGTTCTGGGGCTTGTGTAACGTTACATTTAGAATGAATGAATGTATGGAAGGTGTGATTGGAAGCAGGTTATCAGTGTGAAGCATAGTGGACGTTTTTGACCTGTTCGCGATAACAATCAAAACAAACACTTGATGCTGTCATCAGTGTGTTATCATTATGGCTTGTGTACAAGTGTATACAGTTTCAGGGAGATAGAAGCGTGTTGATTAAACTGAAGCTTTGTTTGGTGGATTTATTATAAGCTCACCTGCCTGAAAGTCAAGTTAGCTTATTCCGTGGCGTGTCTGTTGTCCAGTTGTTGTTGACATCTCATAAAACTGCAAGACTTGTTTAGCTTTGGATGGTCTTGTTTAACTCTGGATGGTCCCACTTATGGCGGCCCTAATAACTGTAATGGCGGCCATATTGAAAATGTCATTTTGGCCCATTACACAGACATTTCTGCATGTATCATGATATCGATTAGTAAATTTGATATGCATTACTTCAGGCCCTAGGCCCATAATACAAACAAGATGGATAAAACAATTAAATTTACATGCTGAATATACAGCTAGAGGAAAGTACAATTTATGTTACAGGGAAAGGTGATTTGCTTCTTATCTTGAGTACTTGACAAAGGAATTTAATCAAACATTTAATAATAATATGGATATTGTCGGTTGACATAAGTCTTACAAAGGTTTCAGTTATGTGACTTATGTCACTGTGAAGTGCTGGCATGCTTGCCATGCTTGATGTGATTGTTGTGACTAAGAAGTATTACATGTAGGATTAAAATATGTGAGAGGGTTTTTATGAGATCCAAGGGTTTTAAACCTCATAAAAACCTGAGTGTAAGTGTTTTATCTAACTTACATGGAAAACATGAAACTGAACCCTACACTCTTGTTTTACTGCTAAAACTGAACCCTCTACTTTCAGTTTTACTGCTAAAAATGATCCCTCTACTTTCAGTTTTACTGCTTAAACCGAACCGTATACTCAGTTTTAATGTTAAAACGCATGTCTTTGCTCTCTGTTTTGCTGTTAAAGTTGAACTCTTCACTTGTTTACTTTCAGGGAGTGTAATGGCCACCTGTTGCAGAATGGTAAGGTCCACCAGAACGGCACCGCCCCGCAGGAGATGTTGGTTACGGAGGCAGAACACAACGAAAAGGAGAAGGAGAAGTCCTCTGGCAAGGTGAGCTACAACCCCACTGATGTGATGTGATGCCAGGGGTTATGCCATTCTTCCTTTGTACCGGTCATTTATTACAGGGGAGGGGGAGCTGGTGGGACGAAGGGGAGCGCCATGAAAGAATGACACAGCAAAAGAGGGGGATTGGAGGGTCACCAAAATTTGTACACCGATACACAGAAAGCCCACAAATGGAGAATCTGCTATCAAAATATAACAAAAAAAATGATTCCAATTTCCTCTTGCATTTCGTCATAATTTGATGTGCTTTAAAGTCTTTAAGATATATTTGCAACAGGTTTAAGTATAGCATTTTGAATAATTTATATTGAGTTGGGTCCTGCACCACGACTGTGGAATATACGTAGTTCATGAAACCAAAACCTCGATAATAGAAGAGCAAGTCTAGCTAGCTTCATTTTAGAGAAAAGTAACATTTTGTAGTTTTTGTGTATATATATATATTTTGTTTATGGGAGTCTTCTGCTGGGGTATAAGATCCTACCCATTCATTCAGAAATTGACAAAATGCATCTGTCCTTTCCAAGGGGCCACACTTCTATTCATGTCAGGTGGTAGGCCAGAGTGTCTTTTAACAACTGAAATTTAAATAAAGCTGTTACTGAACCATGTTGTTTTCAGGTAGTGAAGCAGCAGCATTTCAGGGAGAAGGTGGTGTTTGTGGTGTCCGTGGCAACAGTCAGCTTGTTGACACACAGCCTCATCTCCGCTCAGTTCCTCATCCCATACTTCTACTCAGTCACCGCCCCCATACTGCTGCTCATCCGCTGTATCATGTACTGGTGAGTCCACCCCACCCCACCCCACCCTCCCAAACACACCCACCGCACCCCAACCCACCCTCCCTCCAGTGTATCATGTACTGGTGTGTCCACCCCACCCCATCCTCCCTAACACACCCACCACACCCTCCCTAACACACCCACCCCTCCCCACCCTCCCTAACACACCCACCCCTCCCCACCTCCACCCTCCCCAAAACACCCACAAAACCCTACCTCCAGTGTACCGTGTACTGGGGAGTTCACCCCATCCCACCTTCCCTAATACACCCACCGCACCCCACCCCCACCCTCCCCAAAACACCCACAAAACCCTACCTCCAGTGTATCATGTACTGGGGAGTCCACCCTACTCCACCCCGCCTTCCCCCAAACCCCCCAAAAACCCTACCTCCAGTGTATCATGTACTGGGGAGTCCACCCCACCCCCACCCTCCCCAAAACACACACACATCCCTCCCTCCCTGTTGGTGATATTATATTTGTTTTAAAAGGCCAATATAGTGTTATGGTGAAAAGCACCATGTGTCATTCCGTGAACACTAAAGTGGGGAAACATCTCTGCCAAGTGTCACATGTGAGGCACACTGTCACCTTCTGTAAACCAACTCACTCGCTGAGCTCCTGACTTCACATGCCATGTAGTTCTATTTCAAGCACCTGCTTCAATGAGCAGTGTTAAATACCATTGATGAATATTAACTTGAGCTTCTTTCTTTACAGGTTATGTAAATGGCAGTATTTTTTACTAGATTTCTGTTACTTCGGAAACATCACGTGCTATGTGTTTATTTGGTAAGTACCTCAGACTACTTCTTGTGAGAACTCTACTTTTGAAAACAAGTCTTAATTTCTTTATACAATAAAAATGGTTTGAAGTTCCACAATTTAACACCAAATGTTAATTTTTAGAAAATTATGTTAACTGGTTTATATGAACAAAAACATTAATTGACTCACATTGACCTCTCATCTCTGCTGTATGGAGTTACTGGGTCACAGAAACACTAGATCAGGTTCTCATTGTCGGAGTTTCAACGTTCACTAAATGGCAGGATTTGGAAATTAGGATTCATTAAAAAATTGTGAATAAGTTTGTTATTTGTACTGCAGTGTGATTTTGTGTTATTTCCCAGGGCGTTCCCCCAACAGCCGGAGTTCTTCTGTGTGTTATTTGTACTGCAGTGTGATTTTGTGTTATTTCCCAGGGCGTTCCCCCAACAGCCGGAGTTCTTCTGTGTGTTATTTGTACTGCAGTGTGATTTTGTGTTATTTCCCAGGGCGTTCCCCCAACAGCCAGAGTTCTTCTGTGTGTTATTTGTACTGCAGTGTGATTTTGTGTTATTTCCCAGGGCGTTCCCCCAACAGCCGGAGTTCTTCTGTGTGTTATTTGTACTGCAGTGTGATTTTGTGTTATTTCCCAGGGCGTTCCCCCAACAGCCGGAGTTCTTCTGTGTGTTATTTGTACTGCAGTGTGATTTTGTGTTATTTCCCAGGGCCTTTCCCCAACAGCCGGAGTTCTTCTGTGTGTTATTTGTACTGCAGTGTGATTTTGTGTTTTTTTCCCAGGGCGTTCCCCCAACAGCCGGAGTTCTTCTGTGTGTTGTTCGCCTTGGCCAACGGCCCGATCACATGGGCTCTCGTGTTGTTCCGAAACTCTCTCGTGTTCCACAGCTTTGATAAAACTGTCTCCATATATATCCACCTGATGCCAGCCCTGTTGTCCTTCACGTGAGTCAAGCACCATGATTTCTATGTTATTGCACCATGCCAGCACCATGCCAGCACCATGCCAGCACCACGCGGTAGGCATTAGAGAAGGCGCCCACTGCCTGCCACCCCATGGTGATATGTGAGATTCAGATTTTTAAGGGTATTCTGGACTCAGGATTGTGGTATTCAACTTTAAACATAAAATAATGGTGTACTATCATTTTTCTATTACATCGTATTCGATGTAAAAAGCGCCCCTCTCTAATGAGCACCCACGGTGATATTTGCTAATATATTGGCTAGTGAACAACCCCAATTAGCACCCCTTCTGATTGATCAATGCACACAAGACTTATTTATTCAAGTATAATACACACTTGTGTGTTATATGCACCCTTAATTATGGACAATTAAATTCTGGAAAAATATATATACTTTTCTTTTGTATCGTTTCAGGCTGTCAGCATAAACCATGAAATTTACGATCTTTCAACTGTTTTTTTTTTCACCAAAATTATATTCTAATAAGAGCCCGCTATTCCTAATTTGAAATGCGCTCTGTGCGCTTATTACGTCAAATTGGTACTGTATTTTTTCTAATGACCTCAGATTTGACATCATCTGTTTCAGGATACGATGGTACCCAGAAGAGACCTCTAAGCTGTGGTACCAGGAGATGATGCCAACCTTCGCTGACTGGAGCTTTGCATGGCTTGTCGGCGTACCCTTGGGGTGCTTTATGGTTCACGGTGTGAGTATTATAGAGGGCTTGTCTGTGTACCCTTGGGGTGCTATATGGTTCACGGTGTGAGTATTATAGAGGGCTTGTCGGCGTACCCTTGGGGTGCTTTATGGTTCACGGTGTGAGTATTATAGAGGGCTTGTCTGTGTACCCTTGGGGTGCTATATGGTCCACGGTGTGAGTATTATAGAGGGCTTGTCTGCGTACCCTTGGGGTGCTTTATGGTTCACGGTGTGAGTATTATAGAGGGCTTGTCTGTGTACCCTTGGGGTGCTATATGGTTCACGGTGTGAGTATTATAGAGGGCTTGTCGGCATACCCTTGGGGTGCTATATGGTTCACGGTGTGAGTATTATAGAGGGCTAGTCGGCATACCCTTGGGGTGCTATATGGTTCACGGTGTGAGTATTATAGAACCTGCCAGGTGGCAACTTTAGCTCAAGTAGTTGATGATTACCCTAGCCAGTAATTATGAAGAACCAATCAGGTGATGTTTCAGTTTCACACAGTGATGTCTCAGTTTCACCCAGTGATGTCTCAGTTTAACACAGTGATGTCAGTGTTCGAAATACCTGCCTGCCCGACCGTCCGAGACGGGTTGATTTCAACTCGGGCTGCCAGATTTTCAAATCCCCCTGCCCGACAGTCGGGTTATATTTCATATGTGACAATATTCTAAATATTTCCCAATGATAATCATTAATTCACATGTAAAGATGAATGATAAAATGTAACCAAAAAGAAATCCCGTTAGCTTATCCTGAGAAACATATGATTATAGTGGGCAGGCAGGTTTTGGTCAGGGCTGGCAAGTATTTCAGCTAGCCAGTCCTTTGGTCTGGCTGAAATTTTTGGGAGTTTCATAACCTGGTGATGTTTCAGTTTCACCCAGTGATGTTTCAGTTTTACACTGATGTCTCAGTTTCACCCAGTGATGTCTCAGTTTCACACATTGATGTTTCAGTTTCACACAGTGATGTCTCAGTTTTACACAGTGATGTCTCAGTTTTACACAGTGATGTCTCAGTTTCACCCAGTGATGTTTCAGTTTTACACTGATGTCTCAGTTTCACCCAGTGATGTCTCAGTTTCACACAGTGATGTTTCAGTTTTACACAGTGATGTCTCAGTTTCATACAGTGATGTCTCAGTTTTACACAGTGATGTCTCAGTTTTACACAGTGATGTCTCAGTTTTACACAGTAATGTCTCAGTTTCACCCAGTGATGTCTCAGTTTTACACAGTGATGTTTCAGTTTCACACAGTGATGTCTCAGTTTTACACAGTGATGTCTCAGTTTTACACAGTGATGTCTCAGTTTCACCCAGTGATGTCTCAGTTTCACCCAGTGATGTCTCAGTTTTACACAGTGATGTTTCAGTTTCACACAGTGATGTCTCAGTTTCACACACTGATGTCTCAGTTTTACACAGTGATGTCTCAGTTTTACACAGTGATGTCTCAGTTTCACACTGATGTCTCAGTTTTACACAGTGATGTCTCAGTTTCACCCAGTGATGTCTCAGTTTTACAGTGATGTCTCAGTTTCACAAAGTGATGTCTCAGTTTTACACAGTGATGTCTCAATTTCACCCAGTGATGTCTCAGTTTCACAGTGTATTATTTGTGTATAATACGTGTGTTATATGCATCCTTAATTATGGGAAATTAAATTCTGGAAAAATATATCTGTCGTAGATAAACATTTCAGGCTGTCAGCATAAACCACGGAATTTACGTTCTTTCAGCTCTGTGGTTTTTCACCAAAATAATATTCTAATAAGAGCCCCCTATTCTAATTGTGAGAACGCCCTTGGCGCTTATTATGTCTAATACGGTAGGTCATGTCCCAGTTTCACACATAGGTCATGTCCTGGTTTCACACATAGGTCATGTCCTGGTTTCACACATAGGTCATGTCCTGGTTTCACACATAGGTCTTGTCCCGGTTTCACACATAGGTCTTGTCCTGGTTTCACACATAGGTCTTGTCCTGGTTTCACACATAGGTCATGTCCGGGTTTCACACATAGGTCATGTCCTGGTTTCACACATAGGTCTTGTCCCGGTTTCACACATAGGTCATATTCCAGTTTTGTATATGCGTGATGTCTCAATTTCACACAGTATAAACCCAGCCTTATTTGGGACTGGTACTATATTCATCTATTTATTATCCCCCCGGCATATAATGCCAGGGGATATAGCTATGGGCATGTCCGTCCGTCCGTCCGTCCGTCTATCCGAATCGTTTCCGGAGCGTAACTAAAAAAACGTTAAATATTTCTTCATCAAACTTTGCGTTTATATCACTTAAGTGGTGAAGTTGTGCCTTTTGCTATTTTGGAATTTTTCCAATTTTTATTTTCTAATTTTCATGAAAGCATGCTGGACATAGGCTCACTGTTTGAGTGATGTTAGTTTCCGAAGCAGAACTCAAAAACTTTGAATATTTCTCCATGTTATTTTTCATAGGTTTAAACTACATACTGAACAGGTGCCTTTTGCTATTTAGGAATTTTATAAATTTTTGTTTTTTACGTTTCCATGGCAACAAGTTGGACTTAGGTTCTACAGGGTAGAGTTCGTTTCCGGAGCATAACTCAAAACCCATTCAAAACTTTGTAACAAAACTTTGCATGTCTATTAGACTCATGCCTCCAACGTTTCAGTTTGTAAATAGGATAGCCAATGTCCTGAGTCTAAAAGGTACTGCTAATCAGGCTCAGTGGCAGAGGCCTTAGTGACATTATTGATTGTCAAATATCAACCAATGACATCACAATAGCCTGCGAAGCAATGTCATGCAATTACATTGTCGTGATATCTCCCAGGAGAGATCGCTTGATCTTACCCAAGCAATATCTCCAGTGGAGGCCAGTTTTCGATGATAAGATTTAATTGTCTTGTTACGCAGGTTTAGTATGTTGACTCAGTATTGGATGCTGGTTGGATGTCACCCCTCAAACATAATTCACTGAACAAACTAACTACAAGTACAACAGAAGACTTCAAGGTGTACCATAAGTCACTTTTCAGCCAAGATAATGTAGCAGGGCGTGGAGTCATCCCACAGATGACATCCTTACCTTGTAAGCTTGCTGACGGGGTTAACCTCTTTGGTCATGTGGACAAGGCGTCCGGCCTCTGATCAGAAGGTCCGTGGTTCGAATCCCATCACGGGACTTGGAAATTTTATGGCGGCTACAATAACATTATAAACATGTTGGCAGCCAAGTGACTCCAAAAGGAGTTCAATCTTTATACTGATTTATTCTGGGTCTATGGTTTAATAAGTGTTCAAATGTATGATTTTTGGTTTTCAGCTGTTTAATGCGGTGCTGTTGAGTGTAATTCTGAAACCGACACCAGAATATTCGACCATCTACCGTATCCTTACAGCCGATGAGAAGAGTCAAAGCTTCCTGTTGTTCGACATGTGTGGACCAAAGTAAGTTCCCTAACCATTAGAAGTTGGATTTCTGTTGGGATTCCTGGGCAGAATGGGTCCCCAGTACTCCATGCTTGTCATAAAAGTTACATGAAGATTGGTTGGGCTGAGTGGATGAGGGCTAGCAGTGGCCGATTGCATCCCAATGTAACCTGACATCTTGGATCGCTCCTCGTGCTACCCACCACTGGTCTGCCTGGACTCTTTTATTTAGTCAGTGATATGGCTGGAATATTGATAACCTGAGGTCAATGGTCAAGGTCACCAAGGTTTTAATCAAAATCAGTCAAAGGTCAAGGTGAACATTGCAGGTTTAAGAAACATGGTTCAATCACTGACAGTTCCTGAGGCATGGGTTCCTGGATATTTGCATGTATATTTACAAATCCTAACATGTTGGTGGTTGATCTATCAAAGGTCAAGGTCAACTTGGAGGTTATTGTGATTAAGGTTAAGATTTCAGGAGCTTTGGGGAAATGATGTTTCTTCTGTTTTTACAAGTAAACATCTGGAAGGGAGTTTGGCACCACTTTCCTCCTTTATTTTCTTTTTCTCCAAATTTCCATGAAATATCTACATGACATGGAGCTCATTCTGACCAATATGCAGGATACCACTGATACATGATGTACAGTCACAGGGTACAGGGACACTGTATGTTCCTCCAGATGGTCACAAGGACTTGGTCGTGTCATTGTATTGTTATGTGAAGTAGAGGAAGTAAGGGAGGGGTCGTGTCATTGTATTGTTATGTGAAGTAGAGGAAGTAAGGGAGGCGTCGTGTCATTGTATTGTTATGTGAAGTAGAGGAAGTAAGGGAGGGGTCGTGTCATTGTATTGTTATGTGAGGTATAGGAAGTAAGGGAGGGGTCGTGTCATTGTATTATGTGAAGTAGAGGAAGTAAGGACAGGGTCGTGTCATTGTATTGTTATGTGAAGTAGAGGAAGTAAGGGAGGGGTCGTGTCATTGTATTGTTATGTGAAGTAGAGGAAGTAAGGACAGGGTCGTGTCATTGTATTGTTATGTGAAGTAGAGGAAGTAAGGGAGGGGTCGTGTCATTGTATTGTTGTGTGAAGTAGAGGAAGTAAGGGAGGGGTCGTGTCATTGTATTGTTATGTGAGGTAGAGGAAGTAAGGGAGGGGTCGTGTCATTGTGTATTGTTATGTGAAGTAGAGGAAGTAAGGGAGGGGTCGTGTCATTGTATTGTTGTGTGAAGTAAGGGAGGGGTCGTGTCATGGTGTATTGTTATGTGAAGTAGAGGAAGTAAGGGAGGGGTCGTGTCATTGTATTGTTATGTGAAGTAGAGGAAGTAAGGGAGGGGTCGTGTCATTGTATTGTTATGTGAAGTAGAGGAAGTAAGGGAGGGGTCGTGTCATTGTATTGTTATGTGAAGTAGAGGAAGTAAGGGAGGCGTCGTGTCATGGTGTATTGTTATGTGAAGTAGAGGAAGTAAGGACAGGGTCGTGTCATGGTGTACTGCTATGTGAGGTAGAGGAAGTAAGGACAGGGTCGTGTCATGGTGTATTGTTGTGTGAAGTAGAGGAAGTAAGGACAGGGTCGTGTCATGGTGTACTGCTATGTGAGGTAGAGGAAGTAAGGGAGGGGTCGTGTCATTGTATTGTTGTGTGAAGTAGAGGAAGTAAGGACAGGGTCGTGTCATGGTGAATTGTTGTGTGAAGTAGAGGAAGTAAGGACAGGGTCGTGTCATGGTGTATTGTTGTGTGAAGTAGAGGAAGTAAGGACAGGGTCGTGTCATGGTGTATTGTTGTGTGAAGTAGAGGAAGTAAGGACAGGGTCATGTCATTGTATATTGTTGTGTGAAGTAGAGGAAGTAAGGACAGGGTCGTGTCATTGTATTGTTGTGTGAAGTAGAGGAAGTAAGGACAGGGTCATGTCATTGTATTGTTGTGTGAAGTAGAGGAAGTAAGGACAGGGTCGTGTCATGGTGTATTGTTGTGTGAAGTAGAGGAAGTAAGGACAGGGTCATGTCATGGTGTATTGTTGTGTGAGGTAGAGGAAGTAAGGACAGGGTCATGTCATTGTATATTGTTGTGTGAAGTAGAGGAAGTAAGGACAGGGTCATGTCATGGTGTATTGTTGTGTGAAGTAGAGGAAGTAAGGACAGGGTCGTGTCATGGTGTATTGTTATGTGAAGTAGAGGAAGTAAGGACAGGGTCGTGTCATGGTGTACTGCTATGTGAGGTAGAGGAAGTAAGGACAGGGTCGTGTCATGGTGTATTGTTGTGTGAAGTAGAGGAAGTAAGGAAGGGTCGTGTCATGGTGTACTGCTATGTGAGGTAGAGGAAGTAAGGGAGGGGTCGTGTCATTGTATTGTTGTGTGAAGTAGAGGAAGTAAGGACAGGGTCGTGTCATGGTGAATTGTTGTGTGAAGTAGAGGAAGTAAGGACAGGGTCGTGTCATGGTGTATTGTTGTGTGAAGTAGAGGAAGTAAGGACAGGGTCGTGTCATGGTGTATTGTTGTGTGAAGTAGAGGAAGTAAGGACAGGGTCATGTCATTGTATATTGTTGTGTGAAGTAGAGGAAGTAAGGACAGGGTCGTGTCTTTGTATTGTTGTGTGAAGTAGAGGAAGTAAGGACAGGGTCGTGTCATGGTGTACTGCTATGTGAGGTAGAGGAAGTAAGGACAGGGTCGTGTCATGGTGTATTGTTGTGTGAAGTAGAGGAAGTAAGGACAGGGTCGTGTCATGGTGTACTGCTATGTGAGGTAGAGGAAGTAAGGGAGGGGTCGTGTCATTGTATTGTTGTGTGAAGTAGAGGAAGTAAGGACAGGGTCGTGTCATGGTGAATTGTTGTGTGAAGTAGAGGAAGTAAGGACAGGGTCGTGTCATTGTATTGTTGTGTGAAGTAGAGGAAGTAAGGACAGGGTCGTGTCATTGTATTGTTGTGTGAAGTAGAGGAAGTAAGACAGGGTCGTGTCATGGTGTATTGTTGTGTGAAGTAGAGGAAGTAAGGACAGGGTCGTGTCATTGTATTGTTGTGTGAAGTAGAGGAAGTAAGGACAGGGTCGTGTCATGGTGTATTGTTGTGTGAAGTAGAGGAAGTAAGGACAGGGTCATGTCATGGTATATTGTTGTGTGAGGTAGAGGAAGTAAGGACAGGGTCATGTCATTGTATATTGTTGTGTGAAGTAGAGGAAGTAAGGACAGGGTCGTGTCATGGTGTATTGTTGTGTGAAGTAGAGGAAGTAAGGACAGGGTCGTGTCATGGTGTATTGTTGTGTGAAGTAGAGGAAGTAAGGACAGGGTCGTGTCATGGTGTATTGTTATGTGAAGTAGAGGAAGTAAGGACAGGGTCGTGTCATTGTATTGTTGTGTGAAGTAGAGGAAGTTGTGCTTACACAACTGTTTGTTTGATTTCACAACTGTTTGTTTGATTACACAACTGTTTGTTTGATTACACAACTGTTTATCTGCTTATACAACTGTTTGTTTGCTTACACAACTGTTTGTTTGCTTACACAACTGTTGGTTGCTTACACAACTGTTTATCTGCTTATACAACTGTTTATTTGCTTACACAACTGTTTGTTTGCTTACACAACTGTTGATTTGCTTACACAACTGTTTATTTGGTTACATACCAAAAAAAACACCGTCGGCCCGCACTATATTTTCAAAAGCCATTGCCGGACAAGCAATTCTTTTATTTCTTTAAGCCTTAAACAAAAGATAGTGTTGCTTGATTGATTGCTAGACGTACACTTGCACTCACAGCATTGGCAGTTGAAACACTGGAAACTGGAAGCCTGTGCTTGATTACTTGCTAGACGTACACCTGCACTCATAGCATTGGCAGTTGAAACACTGGAGACTGGAAGCCTGTGCTTGATTGATTGCTAGACGTACACCTGCACTCACAGCATTGACAGTTGAAACACTGGAGACTGGAAGCCTGTGCTTGATTACTTGCTAGACGTACACCTGCACTCATAGCATTGGCAGTTGAAACACTGGAGACTGGAAGCCTGTGCTTGATTGATTGCTAGACGTACACCTGCACTCACAGCATTGACAGTTGAAACACTGGAGACTGGAAGCCTGTGCTTGATTGATTGCTAGACGTACACCTGCACTCATAGCATTGACAGTTGAAACACTGGAGACTGGAAGCCTGTGCTTGATTACTTGCTAGACGTACACCTGCACTCATAGCATTGACAGTTGAAACACTGGAGACTGGAAGCCTGTGCTTGATTACTTGCTAGACGTACACCTGCACTCATAGCATTGGCAGTTGAAACACTGGAGACTGGAAGCCTGTGCTTGATTACTTGCTAGACGTACACCTGCACTCACAGCATTGGCAGTTGAAACACTGGAGACTGGAAGCCTGTGCTTGATTGATTGCTAGACGTACACCTGCACTCACAGCATTGACAGTTGAAACACTGGAGACTGGAAGCCTGTGCTTGATTACTTGCTAGACGTACACCTGCACTCATAGCATTGACAGTTGAAACACTGGAGACTGGAAGCCTGTGCTTGATTACTTGCTAGACGTACACTTGCACTCACAGCATTGGCAGTTGAAACACTGGAGACTGGAAGCCTTTGCTTGATTACTTGCTAGACGTACACTTGCACTCACAGCATTGGCAGTTGAAACACTGGAGACTGGAAGCCTGTGCTTGATTACTTGCTAGACGTACACTTGCACTCACAGCATTGGCAGTTGAAACACTGGAGACTGGAAGCCTGTGCTTGATTACTTGCTAGACGTACACCTGCACTCATAGCATTGACAGTTGAAACACTGGAGACTGGAAGCCTTTGCTTGATTACTTGCTAGACGTACACCTGCACTCATAGCATTGACAGTTGAAACACTGGAGACTGGAAGCCTGTGCTTGATTACTTGCTAGACGTACACCTGCACTCATAGCATTGGCAGTTGAAACACTGGAGACTGGAAGCCTGTGCTTGATTTAGGGTTGAAAACTTGGGATACCCTTTGTCAGAATTTTCGTATTTCGTCGAAAAGTAGAAATTAAATGGGTAATCAGTCAGCCAATTATCATGACTATCTGGTGTATTTTATCTCTATTCTATTGTGATATACCCTGGACCCACTGTCATAAAGTAATGAATGAATGCTGTTCAATAATAGTAAGAATAGTGAGGCTGTTCGCCTATTGGTGATGCTGTGTACATGTCGTCGGGTGTGATTTCGTTTGTCTGCCATTCCGTTCCAGTTCGACAGTTGTATGCACCCGGGTCATACTTTTTTATGTAACCTTTGGATGACTATTTTTGACATATTTCCTTCAAATAGGGCTCAAATTGAAGCTATGGTGACGAATGGGTGCAGGGTATTTATCGCAATAGGGTAGAATTGAGATTCAAGGATGTCAGTGACATTGTGGCACATGTTGTTGCAGGTATCGCTACATGATGTACCTGATGAGCTACTGGGTCTTCTGTCTGCTGTCTGTGCTCGTCGGCATCCTGTGGTACAACTACTTCATCGCTCACTGCATCTACCTCTCCTTCGTCATGCTCATCGCCACCTACAACGGCGCCTGCTACTACCTGGATGTGTTCAGTGTCCGCCTGTTGAGGAAGCATTTGCAGAAGGAAAGCCAGATTCAGGCTGACAACTCTGATGTAGAGTGATCTGTTTGTCCACGTCTGCTCACTCCGTCTGCTCCTCACGACAGAGTGACCTTGAACTTGAGACAGTCCTATCCTCTCAGTGACTGGAATGTTTCTTCCACGGACATGATGTTGATGAAGCAAACCATGACATATTATTTATCATTTATTTATTATGAGATATTCTCAGTCATACCAGAAGACTTTGCTTTCAGTGTTTGCATAAATATTGTTCACATGTAATGAAAGAAAGTTTGAGTGGGTGCTGAAAGTGAAAATATAGTCACTCGTTCTTGTTCTTGTGAACTTTGTACATGTTCTTGTTGTGAGTAGAAGTCACTAATTTTAGAGACCAATTCCTTAATATTGTTTTCCTTCATTAGGGTCCTCAGTGTCAAGTCTTATTGTGACTGGAGGCCCTTGTTGACTTTCTGATCACAGATTAGGTCAAGGTTGACCAGATTTGGCCGGGGATGACTGAACCTGGCATTGCGTTGCACCCTGGGTCGGATATATTGTAATGAAAAGTTGAACCCAACGATAGATAGTCATGTGATAGCTTCCAGCAATGCATGTATTTAAGCCTTGGGCTAATTACGGGGTTTACATTTTTATATTTTATTAAGTCATTTTTTATTCAAGTTTAAACTCTTGGCTGAACGTGCTGAAAACAAGTAAATGTTAACACTTGGAACAGAATTTAAATATTTAATGAACATTTATGAAAAAATAGGTAACTTTAAACAAATGTAATAAAATGAAAGTCATCACATTGTGTGGTGGGTTGGATGGGCCGTGACGCACAATGATGTTATTATTCAGTCATACAGCCTCTCAGTTTCACCGGTTGCAGCGAGGGGCAGTCGGGTAGCCTAGTGGTTAAAGCGTTCGCTCGTCACGCCGAAGACCCGGGATCGATTCCCGACATGGGTACAATGTGTGAAGCCCATTTCTGGTGTCCCCCGCCGGCATTTTGCTGGAATATTGCTAAAAGCGGCGTAAAACCATACTCACTCACTCACTCACTCACTCACTGTTGCAGTGCGCCCCAGTATTCCCAGTACATGAGGAGACCAGCGTATGTTGAACATGTGGAACTCACAGTGAGGACCTGGCTCCAACTCGCCATTCATTAATATGCTCTTACATGTTTTAGAACAAACCCCAAATTTTAATTCAATTTTAAGCATATAAATTAGCATATTACCTTATCCGTCATGCATGGCCTAGTGTAGTGTACTGTGCCCCCATTCCACAAGGAGATCGTAGGGCTACGACTGTCGTAAGTCCATGTTAAAGTATGGCAGTTACAATCATCTTAGCGCTAAGATCACTTTGTCGAAAGGGCCCAGGAACGAACTTAATATTACTATTATGAAGTTATCTTTGCACATTTAAAACCTTTGTTCGAATGTATTGGACACTTGCACTGTTATTCCAATCAGCTTGTGTGGTATCATTTTGAAATAATTAGAAGAAGGTATTGAAGACAATTCATACTGTCGTGATCGATCATGTATCCTGGGACAGCAAGTTCATCCCAAATGGCCATCAGTTCTAAATATTGCAATACCATGACGGCTCCACATGCTTCATTTGACAACAAAATTATATCAGCATAAAATTATGATTGAATATTTTGATGAAAGTCATTTTTTTTGTAGCAGCATATATCATTTTGATATATAAAATCATATTTTCATATAGCCTATGTGTTCAGGGGGCTTTGAAGCGTCACCCTTGATTATGTCATAAAGCGTGTGGATAAGTATTGTTTAGGGGCACAAAAAAAAGGTGAGGCTCGAAAACAACTGATTTAGGGATGTATCACTTGTAAATGCCATTCAATGACTACATTATTAATGTTGTAAGTTCTGTACCTACGTAACAGGTTCATCCTGAACTATGACTTTGTTTAAATACTGTAAATCTTGAAATTAACGTAAACGGGAATTAAATGCGAAAAACGCAAGTGGTCTTTACTCGTATGAATTAAACTTTGCATATGTGTCTCTAAAATGACTATCAATAATAAGACGGCCTCACTGCTCGCTTTGGATAGTGGAAATACCAACTTGAATATAAACAAACAACGATATATTCCACATCACGGTTTATTGTTTTTACGGAAATTCTCTACTCGGCGCTAATAAGCGGTGATATTTGCTGTTTGACTGGATTAGGGTAAGGTTGGATTATGGTAAGGTTGGATTAAGGTAAGGTTGGATTAAGGTAAGGTCTTGAAGGAATGTGAGATATATCCTCTTGTGTGCAATGTCTAGTGCAATAAGACTAAAGTGAAATGTGCAATCCTAACATTCCATAACTATTGATGTTATTTCTCATAAACCATATCGAATTCCCTTCTTGTCTTTATTGATGCCTGGTCTGAGGCAAGGGAGTTAAGTGACTATAAAATTCCAGTTTCCGTCCTCGCTGAACTAGGCTGGAATTCTGGAGTTACATTTTGGCCGGACTAACAAGACTATGCAGAGTCCAATCAAAGTTGCGTAATGAAATCAATATGTTCGTAAACTGCCGTGCAGATTTTGGCCGATTGCAGGATTTGTTCAGCATGTGTACTGTCAACTTAGGGTCAACAAATATATTCCAAATCCTTTCATGTTTTTAATCAATTTTATGTACTTTGTGAAGTAAGACAATTATCAATCAGATCGTCTTCACTGGGTGCCGTGATTTTGTTTGAAGCAAATTCAAGTGATATGAGAGGTGGAATCTGATTGGTCAATAGGAGGGACATAGAACTTGTAGTAGCCAGTGGTGGCGCTACGATCAAATCTAGAAATTCCAGCCTAGTTCGGCAAGGGTGGAAACTGGACTCAGTCAGTCAGTAACTCCCTTGCCTAGAGAAGATGGATCTTGTAAATCCTCTGAGATGGTGAAGTGAATACGCTGTTTTGCACTGGTTAAAAATGTCTTGCATTTGTCATGACTGATTTTGTTTGCACTTTGAGGACTCAGAAAGTTTACATGAGGTCTTTTAAGTGAAAGAAGAACTTGTCTTTCAATATCATTTAACAAATATTGATTCTATTCAAAAGAATAATGTTTTCCATACATGTAGTTAAGGCAAGACAAATTCGATTTCTTGTTCACTGATTTTCTTGGTCATGATGTCACTACTATAGAATAATCTGCAATCAAAATTAAAAAATTATGTTACCATGGTTACAGGAAAGTATGCTTTTTTCATTCTCATATATAACCTCTTCACTACAGAAAAAGCTACAATCAAAATACAAAAATCTGTTACCATGGTTACAACAATCTCATGAAAGTCAGATCTTAGTGCTCACTACCGCTAAACACAGATCCGAGGACATCACATTACGTGTGACACCAGAACGACCTTCCATCTGACCAATCAGAACGTCGCTTACTAAATCAGGACAGTGAGAGTCGGAATGTGTTTTTTTAATCATGCAACCTCAAAAGGGTTAAATGGGGCATTATGAACAACATTTACAGGCTGCACGACCGACTTCCTCAAAATCATTATCTATCCCTCGCTTCAATTGAATTTAAACGGAAGGGACTTTCTGTAGCCCGTGGGAAGTACTGCCGTAGTCCCGGCCATCTGGTAATCATTTCACAATGTTCTTCTGTTCAATTTTCAAATTTTTAATCAGGACTTTTGCCAATATATTATGCAACTCGTATTTGGAATGGATGTCCCCAGTTTGAAAATAGTGCCATATACTTCGAAAAAGCTGCTTTCTGATTTGCTAATGTCGACTTCTTGTTATTGATTTCATTAGTAGGTCAAAGTTCGTGAAGGGTCGTTCTGACGTGACCCGTAATGGAATGTCATCCGATCTTTGTGAGAACTATGATCTGATTGGAATGAGATTGACGTTACAGGAGAGTATGCTTTTAGAACTTATTTTCATGACAGAATATGTGTTTTAATTTGATGTCCGATTACACTGTGACTTATTGCACATTAAGTGCCCGTGGTTCCATTGATGACACATCTCTTTGTTGTCTATCTTTACAACAGAGAAGTAGAAATATTATTAGTTATAATGCTGATCTGTTCTGACAATGAATAATATTGTGATTTAAATAGTATATGCCATGAAAACAGTGCCTTTGACAAATTGATATATTTTGTGGTTGATTTTATCATAGCCACAAGTTATTTCTTTTTTCATAGAAATATTTACCAGAATTGAAGATCATTCCCAAAATTGATGATATCGTGAATTTAGTCTTTTTTAGCAGTTAGATTACAAAATGGTGAAATCATTTCTTAACACATTCTATGCAGTGACCGTTGTGCGATATGTATATATTTCTATGACATGTGATACTCATAAACACAAAACCAAATATTTTTTGGGGAAAGATGGTTGTCAATGTCAAGTATCTTTGATATAATGCAAAAGTTAATATATTTTTGTTTCTGTTGTGTGAATATTTTAAATTTGTTTTTAATGTGATGTAAATATTGTATATACATGTTTACATGCACGTCAACACATACATAGTACCAGGTGATATTAGGTCATGTTTGTCACAGCAGTTTGACAGTTGTTCATATAAAATAAATTAAATATTTATGTCACGTTTTTTGTTATGTACAAGTTAAAAATGTTGCTGAAGCGTTATTGCATACACAATGTGAAGAATCATGTTATGTGGGATGTGAAGTGAGGTTTCTAGTTTACAAATGTTCCTGAACCAATGCTTGCAGGGAAAGGCTACTATATAGTCTGACTCAGTGTCTTCATTGATTGCATGACACTCTGTGGGGAGTGGTGAATCAAATTATCAATCATCTCTGGTGTATCTGTCCCAGACTCAACTAGTAACAGGCACTGGTGTATCTGTCCCAGACTCAACTAGTTACAGGCTGAGGTGTATCTGTCCAAGACCCAACTAGTTACAGGCTCTGTTACATCTGTCCCAGACTCAACTAGTTACAGGCTCTGGTGTATCTGTCCCAGACTCAACTAGTTACAGGCTCTGTTACATCTGTCCCAGACTCAACTAGTTACAGGCTCTGTTACATCTGTCCCAGACTCAACTAGTTACAGGCTCTGGTGTATCTGTCCCAGACTCAACTAGTTACAGGCTCTGTTACATCTGTCCCAGACTCAACTAGTTACAGGCTCAGGTGTATCTGTCCCAGACTCAACTAGTTACAGGCCCTGGTGTATCTGTCCAAGACCCAACTAGTTACAGGCTCTGTTACATCTGTCCCAGACTCAACTAGTTACAGGCTCTGTTACATCTGTCCCAGACTCAACTAGTTACAGGCTCTGTTACATCTGTCCCAGACTCAACTAGTTACAGGCTCTGGTGTATCTGTCCCAGACTCAACTAGTTACAGGCTCTGTTACATCTGTCCCAGACTCAACTAGTTACAGGCTGAGGTGTATCTGTCCAAGACCCAACTAGTTACAGGCCCTGGTGTATCTGTCCCAGACTCAACTAGTTACAGGCTCTGGTGTATCTGTCCCAGACTCAACTAGTTACAGGCTCTGTTACATCTGTCCCAGACTCAACTAGTTACAGGCTGAGGTGTATCTGTCCAAGACCCAACTAGTTACAGGCTCTGTTACATCTGTCCCAGACTCAACTAGTTACAGGCTCAGGTGTATCTGTCCCAGACTCAACTAGTTACAGGCCCTGGTGTATCTGTCCCAGACTCAACTAGTTACAGGCTGAGGTGTATCTGTCCAAGACCCAACTAGTTACAGGCCCTGGTGTATCTGTCCCAGACTCAACTAGTTACAGGCTGAGGTGTATCTGTCCCAGACTCAACTAGTTACAGGCTCAGGTGTATCTGTCCCAGACTCAACTAGTTACAGGCTCTGGTGTATCTGTCCCAGACTCAACTAGTTACAGGCTCTGGTGTATCTGTCCCAGACTCAACTAGTTACAGGCTCTGTTACATCTGTCCCAGACTCAACTAGTTACAGGCCCTGGTGTATCTGTCCCAGACTCAACTAGTTACAGGCTGAGGTGTATCTGTCCAAGACCCAACTAGTTACAGGCTCTGTTACATCTGTCCCAGACTCAACTAGTTACAGGCTCTGGTGTATCTGTCCCAGACTCAACTAGTTACAGGCTGAGGTGTATCTGTCCAAGACCCAACTAGTTACAGGCTCTGTTACATCTGTCCCAGACTCAACTAGTTACAGGCTCTGGTGTATCTGTCCCAGACTCAACTAGTTACAGGCTCTGTTACATCTGTCCCAGACTCAACTAGTTACAGGCCCTGGTGTATCTGTCCCAGACTCAACTAGTTACAGGCTCTGGTGTATCTGTCCCAGACTCAACTAGTTACAGGCTCAGGTGTATCTGTCCCAGGCTCAACTAGTTACAGGCCCTGGTGTATCTGTCCCAGACTCAACTAGTTACAGGCTCTGGTGTATCTGTCCCAGACTCAACTAGTTACAGGCTCTGTTACATCTGTCCCAGACTCAACTAGTTACAGGCTCTGGTGTATCTGTCCCAGACTCAACTAGTTACAGGCTGAGGTGTATCTGTCCCAGACTCAACTAGTTACAGGCCCTTGTGTATCTGTCCCATACTCAACTAGTTACAGGCTCTGTTACATCTGTTCCAGACTCAACTAGTTACAGGCTCTGGTGTATCTGTCCCAGACTCAACTAGTTACAGGCTCTGTTACATCTGTCCCAGACTCAACTAGTTACAGGCTCTGTTACATCTGTCCCAGACTCAACTAGTTACAGGCTCTGGTGTATCTGTCCCAGACTCAACTAGTTACAGGCCCTGATGTATCTGTCCCAGACTCAACTAGTTACAGGCTCAGGTGTATCTGTCCCAGACTCAACTAGTTACAGGCCCTGGTGTATCTGTCCCAGACTCAACTAGTTACAGGCTCTGGTGTATCTGTCCCAGACTCAACTAGTTACAGGCTCAGGTGTATCTGTCCCAGGCTCAACTAGTTACAGGCCCTGGTGTATCTGTCCCAGACTCAACTAGTTACAGGCTCTGGTGTATCTGTCCCAGACTCAACTAGTTACAGGCTCTGTTACATCTGTCCCAGACTCAACTAGTTACAGGCTCAGGTGTATCTGTCCCAGACTCAACTAGTTACAGGCCCTGGTGTATCTGTCCCAGACTCAACTAGTTACAGGCCCTGGTGTATCTGTCCCAGACTCAACTAGTTACAGGCCCTTGTGTATCTGTCCCATACTCAACTAGTTACAGGCTCTGTTACATCTGTTCCAGACTCAACTAGTTACAGGCTCTGTTACATCTGTCCCAGACTCAACTAGATACAGGCCCTGGTGTATCTGTCCCATTCTCAACTAGTTACAGGCTCTGTTACATCTGTCCCAGACTCATCTAGTTACAGGCCCTGGTGTATCTGTCCCAGACTCAACTAGTTACAGGCTGAGGTGTATCTGTCCCAGACTCAACTAGTTACAGGCTCTGGTGTATCTGTCCCAGACTCAACTAGTTACAGGCCCTGGTGTATCTGTCCCAGACTCAACTAGTTACAGGCTCAGGTGTATCTGTCCCAGACTCAACTAGTTACAGGCCCTGGTGTATCTGTCCCAGACTCAACTAGTTACAGGCTCTGGTGTATCTGTCCCAGACTCAACTAGTTACAGGCTCTGTTACATCTGTCCCAGACTCAACTAGTTACAGGCCCTGGTGTATCTGTCCCAGACTCAACTAGTTACAGGCTCTGGTGTATCTGTCCCAGACTCAACTAGTTACAGGCTCAGGTGTATCTGTCCCAGACTCAACTAGTTACAGGCTCTGGGGTATCTGTCCCAGATTCAACTAGTTACAGGCTGAGGTGTATCTGTCCCAGACTCAACTAGTTACAGGCCCTGGTGTATCTGTCCCAGACTCAACTAGTTACAGGCTCTGGTGTATCTGTCCCAGACTCAACTAGTTACAGGCTCTGGTGTATCTGTCCCAGACTCAACTAGTTACAGGCCCTGGTGTATCTGTCCCATTCTCAACTAGTTACAGGCTCTGGTGTATCTGTCCCAGACTCAACTAGTTACAGGCTCTGGTGTATCTGTCCCACACTCAACTAGTTACAGGCCCTTGTGTATCTGTCCCAGACTCAACTAGTTACAGGCTCAGGTGTATCTGTCCCATACTCAACTAGTTACAGGCCCTGGTGTATCTGTCCCAGACTCAACTAGTTACAGGCTCAGGTGTATCTGTCCCATACTCAACTAGTTACAGGCCCTGGTGTATCTGTCCCAGACTCAACTAGTTACAGGCTGAGGTGTATCTGTCCCAGACTCAACTAGTTACAGGCCCTGGTGTATCTGTCCCAGACTCAACTAGTTACAGGCTGAGGTGTATCTGTCCCATACTCAACTAGTTACAGGCCCTGGTGTATCTGTCCCATACTCAACTAGTTACAGGCCCTGGTGTATCTGTCCCATACTCAACTAGTTACAGGCTCTGTTACATCTGTCCCAGACTCATCTAGTTACAGGCCCTGGTGTATCTGTCCCAGACTCAACTAGTTACAGGATGAGGTGTATCTGTCCCAGACTCAACTAGTTACAGGCTGAGGTGTATCTGTCCCAGACTCAACTAGTTACAGGCTCTGGTGTATCTGTCCCATACTCAACTAGTTACAGGCTCTGTTACATCTGTCCCAGACTCATCTAGTTACAGGCCCTGGTGTATCTGTCCCAGACTCAACTAGTTACAGGCTCAGGTGTATCTGTCCCAGACCCAACTAGTTACAGGCTGAGGTGTATCTGTCCCAGACTCAACTAGTTACAGGCTCTGGTGTATCTGTCCCAGACTCAACTAGTTACAGGCTCTGGTGTATCTGTCCCAGACTCAACTAGTTACAGGCTGAGGTGTATCTGTCCCAGACTCAACTAGTTACAGGCTCTGGTGTATCTGTCCCATACTCAACTAGTTACAGGCTCTGTTACATCTGTCCCAGACTCATCTAGTTACAGGCCCTGGTGTATCTGTCCCAGACTCAACTAGTTACAGGCTGAGGTGTATCTGTCCCAGACTCAACTAGTTACAGGCCCTGGTGTATCTGTCCCAGACTCAACTAGTTACAGGCTCTGGTGCTTCATTTAACAACTTTCACTGATTGACTGACTCACTCACTCTTTCGTACTCTCTGCCACCCACCCACCTATTTAACCACTCATTTTCCCACTCGTTCACTAACCCAAACACCCACCCACCCACTCACTCACTT